TCTTTCCCTTGTTTGGTCAAGGCTTTTTGTCTTTGTGGAAGAGGATCACCAAGAAGTGCTCCGAGACCTGTCCACACCACAACTTCAGCCTGGGCCTGGCTACCTACACCTCATACTGCTGCAAAACCTTCTTGTGCAACCTGAGCGCGTGCCCAGGACCCAGGCTAGCTCGGGACTGAGATGGCAGGGAGTCCCATGCCAGTGTACTTCACCTGCTCAGCAGTGGTGGGAGAAAGGGGCTCCTGAAGGCCTGAAGAGCATGGTCAGAATCCCCCAGGAGGGTATGGACATTGAACACACTGCAGAATAGATAAAGTATTACGGTGACCGCCTCCTGGCCTGTGTTGCCTCCCAACCTGTAGCTTCTCACTTGCTTCTCATGCATGAGCTCTGTTGTGCCGGCAGCTTGATGGAGAAGCGGCTGTGCTATGTCCTGCACCCTGAAGGGGAGAAATGCTGCTTCTGCATGTCCTTCAAATCTCTAGAGGGGTTTCTCCTGCAATCTTACTTTATCTTGGGTGGAGCTGGGAGACTCCAGACTCAGGGAGTGGGGTGGGCAAAAATAACAACCCCTCTGTTCCAACTCAGAAGGGAAACTGTGCAAGCTCCCAGGGTTGCTTCTGGGGAAGTGAAAAAGGCAGTCCTGAAAGGAGGCTGTAGCAAGGTGGTGGTTGGTCTCTTCTCCTTGGTAATGGGTGATAGGACAAGGGGAAATGGCCTCAAGTTGTGCCAGGGCAGCGTGAGGTTAGACATTGGGAACAATTCCTTCCCCAAAGGGCTGTCAAGCACTGGAAGGGGCTGCCCAGGGAAGGGGTCGAGTCCCCACCCCTGGGGGGATTTAAAAGCTGGGCAGATGCGGTGCTGAGGGCCAGGGTTTGGGGGTGGGATGGCAGGGGTAGGGGAACGGTTGGGCTTGATGATCTTAAAGGGCTTTTCCAACCCAAATGATTCTATGATTCTATAAAAGCTTGAGCCTGTGATAGATGCTAACCACAACTCTCCCACCTTGTACCCCTCACCTCCTCCATGTAGCCTCTCACTCCCAGCCCCAGTTAGGGACAATGACATCCCCCTGTGCCCCATTAAGTCAGACACACCAGCCACATAGCTCTTCCCGTCGGCTCTGCCTGTGGCACCACATTTTTATCAAAATTATGCTTATCCGCACAGCCTGCACATCTGTGCACATCTGTTTATCTGCATTCTTTGTCCCCCCCTCCACTTCCAGCAGCTGTCCTTGGTCATCCCTTTCTTTGTGTTGCCTTGCTTGCTCATGGCTGTTTGAGTCAAGCGACCTTACCCAGGACTAGCACCACCCTGGACCTACCACTTGGTATTGTGTCTCCATTGACCTGTCCCTCCGACATCCCCCAGAGCAACCACAGGGTAATGAAATGTCTCTGCAGCATTTGGGTTGAGCTGCTGAGGAACAGTAGAGGGGTTTATAAGAGAAGAATACAGATTTTAGAGAGGCCGAATATTTCATGTAGATGTTTCCAGAGGCTGCAGAGAAATGAGGGTAAAAGGAAGCTTAAAAAATGAACAATGATGAGAGCTCAGAGATTTTTCATTGCCAGACATACTGCTGAATGCCTCTCCCTCTTCCCAAGCAGCACTTTTTGGAGGAGTTTTGGTCTGGCAAAAGCAGGGAAAAGCTTAAACTTGGGTCAAAGTCCCAAATCTGCAAAACATTGCTCAGCCAAGGGATGGATGATGCTCTGCGCTGTGCTTCAAACCCAACCCTGGTAAACAAGAGGCACAAAAGGGGCTTTGAGCCGTGCCAAGCACGTCTGCCTTGGGCAAGTGCCCGTGGCTGCTCTGGATGAATGCCTTCTTCTGAAGTGCTGTATAACGGGAGTCTTCAGAGATGTGCGCTCTCTTTTATTAATCAACTTCTACTTTCCCTTACCCCCTCCTTCTCACAGTTACGCCATGCTGCGAGGGCAGATATCCGTGCCAAAGGAGCCATGCTGGGTGATGCACCTCCCTTTACCTCTTCATTAGACCGTGATCTCCTTCGTGCCCTATTTAGGAATTTGCATTTTTCGCCCTGAAGCAATCCAAGCCCCATCCTGTCCCTCAGCTTGAATGCTCAAAAGCTCTATTTTACTCCTCACACAATATTTTCTCATAAAAAAAGGACTTGTGTGGTGTTTTTTTTTTTTTCCTGCGTGCTGGAATTATTCAGCTCTCTGAAAGTACTGAGGAATCCCAGTTGGACAGACTCTAATAATTAATATTTCATTGTGTTGGATTTACACATCCTGCCGTAGCGGAGACAGAGTCCCCCACAGCCTGCAGGAAAACACAGTTGGGTATTTTTTTGCTGCTTTAAAGCAAAACTGGCTGTTTTTTTGCTTGGTTTGGTCTGCCTTTGCTGCAGAAAAGCGTTCTTGTATCTCATGGCTAATATAAGAGGGAATAAATCATCCTGGGCATAGTTGAAGAGCAAAGGATTATTTTCCTTGCCCAAAGGGCACTTGCAGCTCAAGGACGTTGAAATCTGCCCTCCTCCCATGGTGCAAAGCTACCCTGGTGGCAATTAGTCCTCTCCAATGCACCTGAGCTGTGCAGGGAGGAAGAAGAGGTGGGTGTGATTCCTAATCACTAATTTTGACCAGGAATTAGGGCCAACTGGGACCACAGAGAGATGGAGATCATTAGCCTGTGGACGAGGCCGACCAGAAAATTACTCCGAGCCTGTGCCCCTTGCTGTATCATTGTGCAAGGCAGAATTCACCCCTTGAGTTTGAAAGGTGCTCACAGGACCCTAAACAGAAATGAGGCCGTCCAGAAAATTACTCTGAGCCTGTGCCCCTTGCTGTATCACTGTGCAAGGCAGAACTCACCCCTTGGGTTTGAAAGGTGCTCACAGGACCCTAAACAGAAAGGGGTTGTGTGCTGGGTGGAAAGGAACTAGTTGTTATCATCACTACAGACTGCACTGAGCTTCTCCGACCCCAGTCAAAGATGCGATGGTGATGGGAGAGGTGGGAGAGAGGTGAAGGAGCCTTTCTGTTCTCGCCAGCACAGGGGCAGGGCTCAGGTGCAACACCCGAGCAGTTCGGGGCATGGCACAGTGCAAAAGAGACGACTCAGCTGGAGATGGTCCAGGGTGTGGGAGAAAGATGCTACAGAGACTCGGCACGGAGTTATCACAGACATTTGTGGAGGGGATACTCAACCATCCAGACATGGGGAGAGAGGGGAGAGGGCTGTTGTGCCCCAAAAGGATTAACAGATCCTGGTGCAAGGCATGGAGATAGGTCCATGGAGAAAGAAGAGCCCAAGCTCAGCACTTAGAAGAGGCAGCATAAAGCACAGAGCCCTTTCAGTGACGGGGGCTGGCAGGCAAACACAGCATGGGGATGAAGCAACAAACAATTACAAATGGCATAATAAAGGCCTGGTGGCAGATAATAACCAGCAGTTTAAATACCTAAGGGAGTCATCGGATGGACGTCAGGGGGCAGTTGTGATGTGGCTCCTTCGGATCCAGGCTGTAGGACAGTTGGACTCGCTGTGTGTGGTTGTCACCCTTCCCTTCGGCTATCAGAGCTACCAGCTTACAGCCTCCAACAGCCAAACCCACGCGATAAATTTAGCCCTGCACCAAGCTGTGTGTGTGGGCAAGGCTGGAGGAGTGCTGGGAGGGAGGCTGGAAGTGGGATTCTGCAGCATTTGGGTTGAGCTGCTGAGGAACAGTAGAGGGGTTTATAAGAGAAGAATACAGATTTTAGAGAGGCCGAATATTTCATGTAGATGTTTCCAGAGGCTGCAGAGAAATGAGGGTAAAAGGAAGCTTAAAAAATGAACAATGATGAGCGCTCGGAGATTTTTCATTGCCAGACATACTGCTGAATGCCTCTCCCTCTTCCCAAGCAGCACTTTTTGGAGGAGTTTTGGTCTGGCAAAAGCAGGGAAAAGCTTAAACTTGGGTCAAAGTCCCAAATCTGCAAAACATTGCTCAGCCAAGGGATGGATGATGCTCTGCGCTGTGCTTCAAACCCAACCCTGGTAAACAAGAGGCACAAAAGGGGCTTTGAGCCGTGCCAAGCACGTCTGCCTTGGGCAAGTGCCCGTGGCTGCTCTGGATGAATGCCTTCTTCTGAAGTGCTGTATAACGGGAGTCTTCAGAGATGTGCGCTCTCTTTTATTAATCAACTTCTACTTTCCCTTACCCCCTCCTTCTCACAGTTACGCCATGCTGCGAGGGCAGATATCCGTGCCAAAGGAGCCATGCTGGGTGATGCACCTCCCTTTACCTCTTCATTAGACCGTGATCTCCTTCGTGCCCTATTTAGGAATTTGCATTTTTCGCCCTGAAGCAATCCAAGCCCCATCCTGTCCCTCAGCTTGAATGCTCAAAAGCTCTATTTTACTCCTCACACAATATTTTCTCATAAAAAAAGGACTTGTGTGGTGTTTTTTTTTTTTTCCTGCGTGCTGGAATTATTCAGCTCTCTGAAAGTACTGAGGAATCCCAGTTGGACAGACTCTAATAATTAATATTTCATTGTGTTGGATTTACACATCCTGCCGTAGCGGAGACAGAGTCCCCCACAGCCTGCAGGAAAACACAGTTGGGTATTTTTTTGCTGCTTTAAAGCAAAACTGGCTGTTTTTTTGCTTGGTTTGGTCTGCCTTTGCTGCAGAAAAGCGTTCTTGTATCTCATGGCTAATATAAGAGGGAATAAATCATCCTGGGCATAGTTGAAGAGCAAAGGATTATTTTCCTTGCCCAAAGGGCACTTGCAGCTCAAGGACGTTGAAATCTGCCCTCCTCCCATGGTGCAAAGCTACCCTGGTGGCAATTAGTCCTCTCCAATGCACCTGAGCTGTGCAGGGAGGAAGAAGAGGTGGGTGTGATTCCTAATCACTAATTTTGACCAGGAATTAGGGCCAACTGGGACCACAGAGAGATGGAGATCATTAGCCTGTGGATGAGGCCGTCCAGAAAATTACTCTGAGCCTGTGCCCCTTGCTGTATCACTGTGCAAGGCAGAACTCACCCCTTGGGTTTGAAAGGTGCTCACAGGACCCTAAACAGAAAGGGGTTGTGTGCTGGGTGGAAAGGAACTAGTTGTTATCATCACTACAGACTGCACTGAGCTTCTCCGACCCCAGTCAAAGATGCGATGGTGATGGGAGAGGTGGGAGAGAGGTGAAGGAGCCTTTCTGTTCTCGCCAGCACAGGGGCAGGGCTCAGGTGCAACACCCGAGCAGTTCGGGGCATGGCACAGTGCAAAAGAGACGACTCAGCTGGAGATGGTCCAGGGTGTGGGAGAAAGATGCTACAGAGACTCGGCACGGAGTTATCACAGACATTTGTGGAGGGGATACTCAACCATCCAGACATGGGGAGAGAGGGGAGAGGGCTGTTGTGCCCCAAAAGGATTAACAGATCCTGGTGCAAGGCATGGAGATAGGTCCATGGAGAAAGAAGAGCCCAAGCTCAGCACTTAGAAGAGGCAGCATAAAGCACAGAGCCCTTTCAGTGACCAGGGCTGGCAGGCAAACAGAGCATGGGGATGAAGCAACAAACAATTACAAATGGCATAATAAAGGCCTGGTGGCAGATAATAACCAGCAGTTTAAATACCTAAGGGAGTCATCGGATGGACGTCAGGGGGCAGTTGTGATGTGGCTCCTTCGGATCCAGGCTGTAGGACAGTTGGACTCGCTGTGTGTGGTTGTCACCCTTCCCTTC